GCGTTGAAGCACCACAGGATGACCAAGATGGAAGAAAGACTTATCCTGACCCGGTACGACGTCAGGAGGAGCCAGGACATGATCGTCAAGCGGGTGCACCAGATCGTCGAGATGGTATGAAGCGCGGGAAGAAGGTTCGAAAAAGTCGAAAGAAGACATGGACCAGAGAGCGCCATGGCACAAGGTCGACAATGTTGAGTAAAACAAAAATGGCCGAAGCCGATACCTCGGTGAACAGTTGCGACGTAATGAATGCAGTCATCGAGCAAGATCCGAAACACTACGGCGAGGCGATGAAGAGTAAGCATAGCAAACAATGTCACGTGGCTATGACCGAAAAACTGGACGCACACAAGGCAAATGACGTCTGGGAGATCGTTGTGCCACCAGGAAATGTTTATGTTCTACACAACAAATGGGTCTACAAGACAAAGACCGACGCGAACGTGGGCATCGAGCGGTACAAGGCTCGTTTGGTTGTTTGCGGAAACGAAAACATGTTTGGAGTGACCTATACCCTCACGTTTGCAGCAGTCATGGACTTGGGTACGGTGAAGCTGATCCTGGTGCTTTCGAGACACTGGAAGTTACTAGCGCTCCACGGTGATGTACCCAATGCGTACGTCAAGGCTGGATAGGATAAGCAGATGTGTATTTACATGAAGGTGCCAAAGAGGATGACAATGACGGATAAAGAGATGATGGAATTGAACGCGAAGATTCCAATTGACCTATGGTTGCTGTTGAAGAAGTCTATATATGGACCTAAACAGGCTGGGCGGATGTGGAGCAAATTACTTGATTTCAAGCTACGACAATCGGGTATCAGCAAAGTACTACGGACATATAACTGTTCCTTCCAGTACAAGGTCAAGACATGCACGGTGGTCGGTGTCTACGTGGACGATCTGTTGGTCACAAGCATCGAACATAGCGCTGTGGGCGACTTTTTAAAAGACATGACCTCACAATCGATCAAGGATTTAAGGATTGTAAATAAGTTCCTCGGGCTGCGATTTGAGCTCGACGACTCGAACAGATATGTTATATATCAAGAACCAACTATCGACTTGCTGTTGAGGAACTTTGGGATGGACTCAATTAATGGAGTTCGCACCCTATCGGGGACGAGTGCAATATGGATGACGAAGAGGATGCTGAGTACCTACCAGCAAGAGGAGCGAAGAAGAATCCATTGTAAAGTCCTTTCAGTCACTGGTGTGAAGCTTGCTATGGACTTACAAGATGCACACGCCCAGACATTTGTTTTGCATTGCACAAGGCTACAAGACAGACTCACAAGCCGACACTCAAGAATTAAAAGAACGCGAAGCGCATCATGTTAAACCTGAAGATGTCCAAGGATTTGGAGCTGCACCTGAATGATGATGAACATACGTCAGAGGATGTGCGGGTCGAGTGCTGGAGCGACGCCGATTTCGCTGCGAGCAAGGCCGACCGTAAGTCGATATCAGGGTGTGTGATTATTGTGTATGGTGCTGTAGTTATGTGGCTGTGCAAGAAGCAATAGGGTGTATCGCTGAGCACGATGGAGGCTGAGTCTATTTCAGCGTCGCAAGCTGGTCAGGAGCTACTTGTCATGTAAGAACTACTGTGTGAGCTGAAGCCACGCTTACGTGAGCCCATATCGATGTGGGTTGACAGCCAAGCGGCGATCAAGCAACTCGAGTCAGAGAAAAGCACCTCGAGCTCCAAGCACGTGGACATACGTTACAGGTTAATATACCATCACGCACAGAAAAAGGCCGTGGTGCCAAGTTTTGTGCAATCTGAGGATTTCCTGGCCGACGTATAGACGAAGTCGTTGCCGGCGCCAAGGATGGAGGAGTTGAGGTCTATGCTCAAGTTGAAGTCCACACAGGTCAACACCGAGGAGGAGCGTTTTAAACTATCGTGTTTGACAGGTTTCAAGGTTCAAGTGCTATACCATGGGACGGTGTCACCTGATTGGCTGATTACCGTACGACGTGACATGTGGGACCACGACAGTACGATCGACCAAATGGGACTTGTGGGACAGATGAATAGCTGGACAGTTGGTACTGTGAGAGACGGAAGCCATGTGACAGGATGTCACATGGGACAGGAAAAGACGGACACCATGTGTGACTTGACATGGTCAAGTTGCAGTTTCCATCTCTGGTCATGCATATCGTCGAGTTGAAGGAGGTAGTTCTTAACACTCAATATATTTTACTTTTACTTCCTGCTTCTACTGCACAAGTGCGCCTACGTTCTAACATATCGGGACCTTGTGCAGCGAGAAACTCCACATACTCAGGCCCTACGGCCGCGGTCAGCTTATAAAGCGTGACCTTTAGGACCTCAGTAAGAGGTGTGGATTGCTTCATCCTCACAGAAGATTAGCCGTTACCGACTCAGGCGTAGATTGACTACGAGTGCTACCAAATGTAGCGGAGCTACATAGATCCTTAAGTCAGAGGAAGACTTGACGCTCAACGAGCAACTTTGGTCCAAAGAACCCGACTCAGAGAGTCAACAAGCTCGAGAGCTTACGGTCCCTGTTCCAGGGAGGCCAAACGATTGTAGAGAATCACAGCACAGAGTGCTCAAGAGGAGGTACCTTTGTATGCGTTGCTAGCTCCTCAAACGATCACAAGACGCCTCAAAGAGGCACGTGACTTTCAGTGATCAAAAGACGATCTGAATGTTATTTCTTCTTTTAACCTAAAAGAATGCCTTAGAACAACGTAATTAGCCCTACTCGCTAATGTCCTAAATAAAACCTCATAAATGATCTCGTAATCAATAGTTGATAGACATCAGTCTTTAACAATTGATACTAAGTTCCAATATCATTTTAAAGGTGATCCCATCCTTTGTGTGCACCACACCTATTGTCGGTTTACTGTCGACGTGTAACCCCGTTTCAACATTGGTCCGATGAGAGTGCGGGGCCTAGTAATTGTCTTTTTATAGGCTATCGAGCGAATATCCATTCTCCATCAAACGCTTGCTCACGCGCTTGCAAGGCCTTTGCGAAACGAATTTGTTGCTGCCATTGAATGTAAGCGCATGCTGTAACGGGGTAGCCCGTTACATGAGATTATTATTAAAACAATCTGACAATAAAGAAAATTACGTCATATATTCTTTTAACACTTTCACAAGACATGGTGATATTGTTGGGATGACCGAAGGGTCTACTCATTGGTTTATATCGTGATGATATCGACCCACCAATCGCTGCTAGACGCGCGCAATGGGTGGTGAGTAGACGTCATCATACATATAGTTATATTAGTATAATTAAGTCAGGACAACAGAGATCCAAGGAGTAACAGGACTTAATTATATTAATACAGTTTTACTTTTACCAAGAGACTAGTCTAACTACTTATTCTTCTTTCCTTCCTTTGTGTTTCCTTAAATCTCCTAGCAGGGCACTGTCGGCCACTGTCGTCAGTGGAAGTATACTCCGTACTGGTCATCCAGTACGCAGTCAACAGTGCCCCGTTACACATGCGGTCCGTCTCGTGCTTCACAATCTAAAGACCATCTACGAACCGAGCGCAATGCGGCGGCATTCCGACAAAAAATACGTTTTCTAGCACCGGGCATCTCCCAAATGTAAAAAATCAGCATATGGTGCATGAAGGCCATCGCGAAATGCGGGATATGTACAGCAGTAACAGCAGTCTGCGTAGCCCGTCTCAAGGCATGTCTTGAGCTCTTCATCTAAGGTACAACGAGACACTAGCTCGCACGTTTTCAGCTACACTACGTTGCCTCGATCTGCGCTGTATCTCTGGCTCAGGACCGTTCAGCCATGTTGCACACACACTTGTAAACAGACGGTCATCATCACCTTCTCCGCGCCTCTTCAATTTTGAACAACGAGCCATTGCCTACGCGAATTATTCACCATGAAGGAACTGTCCGGATCTTTCACCTCGCTGTCGTCGATAAAAATAATACAAACGGGTCGCAACAACTCCGTAGCGAAACTTCGGTCGGCAAAATAATCAAGTATTGACACCTGTAAACGCACACAAACGCACATGCTCTACTTGCGCTGTGCGTAGGCTCCATACGACAGAGATGATCATCCGATCAGCGCTCTTCGTTCTACACTTGCTGTAGATTGCTAGTTGAGAATGGTTGTAGATCGTCTCGTTTCGTCTACTTGGAGGGCGAGTTTCAAAATATTCGGATACGCAAGAGCCGGATTACTACGCTCCCATACTATCGATATGAGCGGGGGAGGGGCAAGCGCTATGCATGGCCCTGCTTCATCCAGCTGTTTTTAGCGAAGGGAGGACGACAGTGTGTAGATTCGTGAGGCACACGGCATGGCCGTATGCAGGCAGTACAGCTCCCGACGGCGTTTCTTCGTCGAGATGACATGCCGGCATGGTGCCTCTTCACCACTCGAAGATAGACGTCGTATAGCAAATGTATGAAAGGGGCAGTCTGCGGGGACATCCTGTGTCTAAGCAAGGGCATAACACAGTCCTGCAAGTATGAAGGAGACCGTGAGCTGGTGTGTTTCTTGCTGCTAGAGGAGGCCTACCAAATATCTGTTGTTGTTCGATACCCGAGTAGACGATTACAAACCAGCTACAAACATGCAGATCCTTTACGCACACAAATGAAGGATAAGATGTGGCGTGCCAGCGCGACGAAGCGTCGACACGGCAGAAAAGAAGCGAAAAAAACACTGTTCGGATCGAGTCTCGGATTCGCTCAGGTACTCTAAGCTTGACCAGATCTGCGCGGGACATGACTGTGTAGCAATTGGCTTGAAGAGCAAGTCACAGCACTTCAGCCACATGATCCCTGCTGTATGGATGGATTGTTCGCAACGTTGTACCGTACAGCTTCAAATGACGTGCTGTCCACGGCACGACGATCGTGTGTAGCTGCGTCGTAAACGGACAGGATAGTAAGCGATCGCCGCAGGCTGGATCCTCACTTTGCCTTTTTCCTCGCCGCCACCAAGACCACGTCCTCGAAATATGAAGATATCTGCGCTGCTTTATGCGGCGCTTGCCAGCATCCTGTCGATAACTGCCGACAGTGGAACGTGCAGTGGACCACAAGCTCGGGTCAAGCCGCCGCCTGGTGCTATCGTTGTCGATGCGATGGGTGATCCCAAGCGCCAGGGCAGCTACCGGACGATGAAGGAGGGCGTTGCAAAACTCGATATTAGCACGGTCAAGCAGCAGACAATCTTCATCTTTCCAGGAGTCTACAAGGAGCAGGTGGTCGTTCCGCTCCTCCAAGGCGCTCTCGTGATCCAAGGCGCCACGTGCGATGCGACGTCGTACGTCAAGAACCAGGTGACGATTACGCACGCGATGGCGCAGAAACACTTGGCTTCTGGAGTGGTCCGCGAGCGCAATGCACTGACCAGCACAATGCGATTCAGGTCCAACAACGTGAAGGTTTACAATCTCAACATCGCCAATACGGCGGGTCTTGTGGGGCAGGCTGTTGCTGCCAGCGTCGACGGCACAAACTGCAGCTTCTACGGCTGTAACTTCATAGGAAACCAAGACACTTTGTTGACCACAACTGGCCGCCAGCTGTATGCGAAGTCACGCATTAGTGGCACCGTCGACTTCATTTTTGGTATGTATGCGGTGGCTTGGTTCGAAGACTGTGATATCGATAGCATTGGCAGGGGGTTCATCACTGCCAACGGTCGTCCTAGCGAAGACAGTGATTCCTTTTACGTCTTCAACCACGCGCGCGTGTACAGCTCCGATGCCAACGCTTTCAACACAACCTTCCTTGGTCGTCCGTGGCGGTCTTTTGCTCGCGTCGTGTGGCAAAACAGCGAGCTTGGCCGCGTTGTCAATCCTGCGGGTTGGTCAAAGTGGAGAAACGACGACCCGACGAAGTTGTACTTCCGAGAGTTCAACAATTTTGGCCCAGGCGCAGCTACGGGTCATCGAGCAAACTTCAGCCAACAGTTGAACAAAGCGGTGGACATCAAGGAACTCTTTGGTAACAGCTACAAGAGCGAGTGGTGGGTTGACCCATCGTACCTATAGACCCGTGATGCTCGCTTGCTAAGAGCTGCAGAAGTTGTCGTCTTTCTTTTTGCTTTAACATCGATAACACTGCATACTTGATCTTCTTTTCATCGGACGAACACAAGCTCATACGACTGCGCTAGATATCTGGGATTCATTGATGGCCCGGACGACACAAAGTCTCGATATCATGGCATACTTTGGATCCATGTAGCAACCGCTCCCATAAGCATGTAGACCAAGATGTTCTACCTCGACGACGCCAAGTCACTTCTGTTTGTTTGTAGGCATATAGACTGACGAAAAAAGTCAGCCAAGCTTCCACGGGATTAGTTCTTACGAAGAAGAAATAACGTGCGAGAATCGGCCGCTCGAAAGACAAAAGGTATCGCTTCACAGTCATGCCAATGTTAACACGAGCTTTACTTGTCACGTTTCGTGCTGCAAGAAGTCGCCCGCGTGTTTTCGCATGGCTCACCGCCGATTAACTATCCATCTCTTTCGCGTCTCCGTCCTCAACAAAGTGACACGAATCTCTCGTAAGAATCCCGCAGCGGCGCTTCTGGCAATAAATGACCAAGAGCCGTAAACGTAGCATCATAGCACAAATGTCTTCCGCTTCATCACCCGGTCTACGGTGGAAAAGACAAGTGGATCAGTGCGGTTCGTATGTCTGTGATGATTGTCCGAGCGATGTGCCTCGTCTTCGAGCTACTATCAAAACTTCCTTCGGTCCACTACTTTAGCATTGGTTTACTATCTCACCATAAGACAATCGCGCTAGCTAAAGACCGCTGTCATCCCTTCTACCCACTTGTGTTGCGCGAATGACAGACCCGCAGCTCGGCACGATCGATTGACTGATTCGTTTGAACCTCAGCATGTATTCGATACGCCAAGCCCTGAAGCTCATCATCGTCAAGACGCAGATAGTGTAAGCGGTAGGAAGGCGCCCTGTGAGTATGGCAGTTAAGCTAATTGTTGTGTTGGTGTCTATGCTGCTAAACACGTGCAATACTTGAAGTGTAGTACTTGGCGATACAAAAACTTGTTTTACAATGAGCACCTTTCGATAAAGATCTGGTGTTCAGTGCAGCGCACTGACTTGTGTTGCACTGAACACCACATCTACATATATAGGTGCTGGCTTCAATGCAACATCGTACCGCCCCGATTCCAACGTGCAGGCCCCATCCAGCCAGGTTGTACCGAGCACGTGTCTAGGCTTTGTCCTCGATCACCACAAGTGCGGTCTGCTCTCTGGCACTGTTCTCGGCCAAGTTGTCGTCCAATCGAGTGTGCGTCTCGTTCGTTTGCCACAGCAACGCAGGTTGTTCTGTTGATGAGCTGATGTGTGTGTCAAACGATCATACTCTTTTGACATATGTTTCGGTCGTTGCGTCGTTTTTCCACACTCTTGTAGCTTGGGTTTCCGTCGTTGCGTCGTATCTCCACACTCTTGGTTCCTACGTTGCAGATTTGGATCAATGCCTCCCATTCGCGCCTTGCAACGTGTGTGCTGTAAGAGAAAAAGGCGTGTAGAGCGTTCACTCGGATTCAACACCAACAATCAGCTATAATGCAGATAGGACAATCAATATGGCATTTCTAGCTGTCGATCGGTTTCTGTCTTTACGGAGCAATATCGGGTACTGTTGGAATGGTGCACTAGATTATCGCTATGAGCGCACGCTACTGTTGTGCAAGCCGATTGTGAGTCCGTTGCTTAATCACAATGTAAGCAGCGACAGATGACTACCAATCATTCAAGAATGGTTCACTGCTTCTCCCTAGTGGCCCTTCCCTCCAATACCTACTTGCAAACGCTGTAGCTTGATCATTGCCAACTACAGCTGCATGTTGCTGTGTTTGTCATGTGCGACGACTAGCTAGCCCCCTTAGTCTTTCGTTCTGCTGGTTTAGTGTTACGTGCTATAGGGATTGTTCTTGTGTTCGTACCATGTACTTGTGCTCCTTGCTTTGTTCTTGACAGCGAGGCAACTGCAGGTGTTTTACAAGCTCTTCGTTTGACAGGTGTGCTACTTTTTGTTGTCATGAATCGTTGGCGTCAAAGTGTCTTGCACTTCTTGGTGTCATCCCACCAGAATCCTTGGCGTCGTGCTTTGGTAATTGTTGATATTGGTTCGTTTACGACCATTCTGCTGGGTACGGCCACTGTGTGAAGATATTTCCTTCTTGTTGCCTCTACATCTTATTGCACGATATTTAAACAAACCGATTTGTTTAAACTGTATCGTGCGACCGTCGAAGGTTCGAGCTTCTCTCGACATACCATTGCCAATTCTCACAACGTATTTGGCGCATTTGCGACTCGGACATTATCGGTAGCACTTCGTGGGAGACACTCATCCTTTCAAGACACTCATCCCTCTAAGACACTCATCCTTTTTGGTAGTACTTGCTCGTCTAGCACTTCACTTGTCAGCAAAATGCTGCCAAACAGCCACCAAGCTGACTAAAAGCAGTAAAACAGAAGAAAAGCAGTCTCACTGCATTGCATCGCAAAACTCTCTGACTAGTCATGCCTCGACTACTGTATTCTAAGAGAGAACCGCGACCTCTCGCTTGCTTCAGACACGTTTGACCATACTCAACTCAAGTCCCTTTCGCCACGCGCTCTCCACCACCCGTTTGCTTTCACGTCCATGCCATTCGCGCCCATGGCGTCGTCCTCCATGCGGTTCCTCGAGGCCTTCGCACGCGCCGCCAAGCGCCAACACGTGTCCGGCCGCGCCCAGCGCGGGCTCTTCGCAGGCCGCGACAAGGCCTTCGGCAACAATGTGTCGTTCTCCAAGCGCCGGACGCGCCGCGCGTGGAAAGTGAACCACCAGTGGAAAAGTCTCTACTCGGAGACGCTGGACGAGAAAGTTGGGCTCAACGTGACGACGCACACGCTGCGATGCGTCGACAAGTGCGGCGGACTGGACAACTACCTCCTGAGCCTCAAAGACGAGCGCGCGCTCGGGGTCAAGGGACTGGTGATCCGCGACCGCATTCGAACGGCCATTGCGACGACGACGACGTCGGACGCGTCGACGGGAGACCTGTAGAATAGACACAACGAGCAAGTTGTAGGCGGTTTCCAGGGAACATAATACATTACTTGACGACGCTAAGGACTTGAGGCGGTCGTGGGGGCTGGTGTTAATACTATTGGGTTGTGGTGGTGCTGTGGTGGTGGTGGGCAATGGTGGTTAGAAACCGTCTAATACGGACGAGCGCTGGACGTGCTGTCCCCTCCTCGATGCGTTCGTGCGCTCGGACGTCGGAGCTGAGAGTAGCGACGCGTTCGCCTGTGCTTGGGGCGTACTCGCCCAACTGGTGCGGTCGGAGGACACGGACGAGGCGAAGCGCACGGAGAAGTTGCTGCTCGACTGCGCGGACCGATACGTTTCCCTCGCGTCGGCACGGAACGTGACGGACGACGCCCGCGTTCCTCGGATCGCAGACGGCAATGGCACCAACGACGACGAAGACGGACCGATGCTCCCGAACGAGACAGAGCTCGCGTCGGACGCCACCGAGTTGGAGTAGTAGAAAGCGGGAGGGCTCGACGACCGCGCGAGCGGCACGGGACCGGTGAACGAGTCGTACTCGTTGCCTTGCTGGCTGTCCGTCGGTGTGTCGAGCGCGCCAGGCGTCATCGGTCTGCGGACGGAGGCATAGGACAGTGCGTTCGTGGCCGCAAAGTCGGCCGTCTTCGTCCGGAGTCGACCGCCGCCACTCGGCATTGTCACGGCGATCTCGTCCCGTGGCGTGAGCGGGTCCGTGACGAACACGCCGGACGAGAGGCCCGTGTCCCGACCGAGCGTCGCACGCGTTTGCCGGAAGAACGAGTCCAGCGCGCGTTGCTGCGAACTGTCTCGTCGGCGCTTGTTCGCCGCCGACACGCGCACGTGGCGCAGGTGCACGGAGATGACGGACACGATGACGACGCAGATGGCGCCGACAATAACGAGCGCGAGTTTCCAGCCGCCAAGTGGGGTCGGCCGTCCTGAAGACGTGTTGGCGTTGCTGTGGTGGACGTCGTCGTCGTCGTTGTCGTCGACGTGCTGGATCGCCACGGCAGGAGTGTCCGTCGGGTCCGCGATGATCGGCGCAAACGTGAGCACCCACGAAGCGTCCACGCTGTCACCCGTTGGCCGATCGGCGCTGCTGCTGTTTTCGGCGGCATCGTCCTGCGTCGTGTCTTCGTACGTGTCGTCGTAGTCGCGCGAGGAAGCGGTCGAGGACAACGAGGCAAAGTTCAAGTCGAACGGACCTCTCGGACCTCTCGCTGGCTCGGACGTGCTGCCGGAAGATATGCCCGCAATGGGCAATGTAGCGACTGGAGCCGCAGTGTCTCCTGTTGTTGGGACACCTATCGGTGGAGTTGGGGCTGCTGCTGCTGTCGGCGTCGTGATTGGGGTCGGGGGTCCACCTGATCCATCATCATCCGTCGTAAGAGGAGGAGCGACGGTGCCTGCTGGGACGATTGGCAAGGCATCCGTCGTTGTGGTGTTGGGCAGCGTAGACACGTTGACATCAGCTGGCACTGGCGCTGCTGGAACAAGAGCTATTGGAGTTGCTACCGGAGCAGGCGTCGGGGCTTCCGCTGGAACTGGCGTAGGAGCTTCAGCCGGCACAGGGGCTTCCGCTGGAACTGGCGTAGGAGCTTCAGCCGGCAATGGTGTCGGCGTCGGCTCTATGACTGGAGCTGGTGTTGGAGCTTCGACCGGAGCTGGTGTCGGAGGTTCTGCCGGCACTGGTGTCGGCGTCGGCTCTATGACTGGAGCTGGTGTCGGAGGTTCTACCGGAGCTGGTGTCGGAGGTTCTGCCGGCACTGGTGTCGGAGGTTCTGCCGGCACTGGTGTCGGAGGTTCTGCCGGCACTGGTGTCGGAAGTTCTACCGGCACTGGTGTTGGAGCTTCGACCGGAGCTGGTGTTGGAGGTTCTGCCGGCACTGGTGTTGGAGCTTCGACCGGAGCTGGTGTCGGAGGTTCTGCCGGCACTGGTGTCGGAGGTTCTGCCGGCACTGGTGTTGAAGCTTCAATCGGCGCCGGTGTCGGCGTCGGCTCTATGATTGGAGCTGGTGTCGGAGGTTCTGCCGGCACAATGACCGGCGTCGGACCTTCAATCGGCGCTGGTGTCGGGTCTATGACTCGAGCTGGTGTCGGTGCTTCAGCCGGCACTGGCGCTTTGTTATCGACATCAGGAGCTTTCGGTGCCTCAGTAGCGTCTGCAGCAGTAGCAGCAGGAGGCAGCGTCTCCACTTGAGCTTCCGTATGCGTTTCGGTTGTCGTCGTTGTTGCGTCGGCGGTCGTCTCGACAACCGCAGACACGACGGTCGATGCGGTCGAAGGTCCCTCGTTGACTCCATTTACAGGGGGCGTCGCATTCGCACGCAACGGTATCGCCGTCCAACTCGCGCTCGTCACGCCATCTCGAACGAAACGAAACGCCTTTGTCACGGACGACGACACAGTCACCTCGTCGTCTTCGTCTCCTCGTCCTCCTCCGCCTCGAGCCGGCGCCACTGTCGCCGGCATCGCGTCCAGCCCCGCAAACGTTCGCGACGACAAGCGCGGGCCAACATCCGCCGGGGCACTGGGGTCTTTGGCCCGTGCAAAAGTGACGTCCGTGAGCTCTCCTCGCACGAAGAGCGCGAGCAGAAGCATCGAAGACGACCAACAGCACCACTTCGCATGCGTCCGTCGCGTCCGTCGCGTCCGGTTCATGAATACCTGCTGTCTGTCTATCTATCTATCTGCCTATCTGCCTACCTATATGTCCGGTGAGCTCTCTCTCGCTCTCTCTCGGGAGCGAACGACCGACCGGCGCAACGGGACGTCCGGCTGACCACCAATCGGTGAAAGGACTTTACACAGTGCCGACAGTATCGGGCGCAGCTCCTGCTCCTGCTACTGCCGCTACTGCTGCTGGTCGCGACAGTCGTCGTAGCGACTCACAACGCGGTCTTAATGACCAGTTTTTCTCCACCGATAAACAGCTTGCAGCCCTCGATGTGCTGTGGTCGGCCGTCGGGGCAAATCCACACGCGCGGGTCGAGAAAATGGACAGTGTTTTATGTCGCGGGAAAGCCGCCGGCTGGCCCGGCGCCCGTGACGGCGGTCACCTCCCCACTTATGCATTCGTACGGTTCCGCCGCCGCCCTTTTCCTCCTCTCTCGGACTAGTTCGTTCAAGTTTCACGTGGCACGAAAGCAGCTGGAGCCGACTGTGGCGTCGTCGGCCGTCGCTGGTCGAGTTGTAGTGAGTTTAGTGTTTACGTTGTGAGCGCGTGAGTGCGTTTGTGAATGTACGTGTGCGTGTTTGTGTGTGTTTGTTGCTGCCCCCTGTTGTCACACCTCAATCTGTCTACAAAGTCATCACGTCAGAGTCTCCGCTTACTCACGCGCTCGCTCGCTCCTCCTCTTCCTGTCATTCCCATGGACAGTCAGGACGACAACACGCGACCGGAAGCGAGAAGTCGGTATGTGAAATGTGGTCGTTGGTGCAGAAGTCGTCGAGGACGTGAGTTCCATCCTCGTTGGCAACGGTCGACAACGAGTGTAGTGAGCTCGAAAGCTTTCTATACGTCCTATAGCAGCAAAGTTAGCGCTCGTTTAAGCACGAGCCGATGTCTCTGTGGTCCGAAGCGCTCTCTGTCAAGTCGCCGGTGGGACCCGTACCGCACGACGGCCACGCAGGACTTTCGGATGGCTCCCCATCTGGTCGAGCCATCTTCCCCCTCGACTTTCTACCCCCACACACACACGCACACACGTGTTCAAGAAGGTGCACTGTTGTCAGGGCGTACTGAGCCCATGCGCGCAAGTGGAGCCGATACGCGGCGTCTTGGCGACGTCTTGTCCTTGTGACTCGACCGGTTGGCGCGCACGGAGATCAGTGTGCGTCCGGTGCAACTCCGGCACGGCATGCACCGAGTGATTTGAGCAAGACGCCATAACCCCACGAGACAGTGCCGTCCGTACACACGCCCCTCGTGTCGTGACCAGCTCGACACGAACGAAAGCTGAGCTTCGTACGGACACTCGTGTCGCGGATGCATTCGGACGCGCGAGTGATGCGCATCATGACATGCCGCTTGTCCACGAGCCCCTTGCGTTTCCATTGTGGCAAACGTCGGGTGGGTGTGTTTAGCCAGGCACCACCGTTGACGCTGTCTACCCCTTGCCGGCTGCCGGCATTACTTCAGCCATGTCCATCGCGTGCACGTAGACGGTGTTCCAGCCCTCCCTCGTGACTCCCTGCGGCAGGAGACCTATTCCGGTCGCACGTGGCAAACAACACACACGCCAAGTTGATCTCCACATCGACGTACAGAAAAAGTCGCGTCTCGGAGCAAGGACACCACCCCACCTCTTGTTCCTCGGGGCTGTCTCACGTTGTAGCATCGCTGTCATGCCACAACCGTGCGAGAGGCCAATGGCCCGACTGCCATGTACGAGCGAGCGGCTTGACACGCAAAAGCTTGACCCAGCAAAGCCCTCAGCTGCTCAGTCGGTTGAACCTGTACGGCTTACCCAGTCACTAGCGAGTTTGTCCCCAGCCTCGACAAAGTCCACACACCCAGTCTTCTTTCTGTCTCATCAGCACGACCCCAGCTGCAAACGTCGTGGCGCCTCTACTGGACGCGCTCCTCACGTGACGAGGCGTACACCCCACACTGACTGGTCGATCCCTTCTCGACGTAGCGAGCGCAAAAACGTCTCGTCAAGTTGATCGTTTTCTGGATTGCCGACGCGCTGGTAATGGTGTGTTCGGCCCGCGATCATCGCCGTAACTGCATCTGTACATCAGCTCGAGAGATGCAGTCAATGCGCTGCATCTGTGCTTTGTCGGCAGCAGGTTTTTTCCAGCAGGTGTCAACAGGAGCTTTACAGAAGAGATGGAGATGGTGGGGTGCGTTCTCCACAGCCCCACGCCGTACTTGTGGCCCAACGCATTCTCCTTCCTGTCTGCATGCGCACAGGACACATCGATCGCGTGTCCGTCCGCGAGCAATGGACGTCCATCCACGTGACTACAGCAGAACAATGTCAGTCAGCCATTTGGCACAGAAAGAGTGAACCCCTCAGCACAACACGCTCAGTCATCAGCACGACACACAAAGGCTCCTCAACGTCAACGCACGTCCGTGTTTTGCTCGTACCGGTTCTAAACCCCTTCTGTCATATCCCTCCCTCTCATCCTTCTCTCGTCTCCTCTCTCTCTCTCTCTCTCTCTCTCTCTCTCTCTCTCTCTCTCTCTCTCTCTCTCTCTCTCTCTCTCTCTTCCTCTCGTCCGTCCATCACCGTCTCCCAGCACCTCCTCTCGTTGCCACCTCAGAGCACAAACGGCACAATCGCTTTGCGTCGCAGCTTCTTGTACTCGTCTCCGTAGCTCTTCACGTACCCGACGTGTTTCTTAAGCGCCCAATCAGCCATTTGCAGGAACCCCACTGCCGTAAACACATAGCTTGCCGCGACTTGCGTAAACAGCGAGAAGCCGACCCACCCGAGCACTTCAAACGTGTAATTGGGACACGACACGAGCGCAAACAGCGGTCCGTCAGGGATCGGGCGCGCTTTGGACCCTTCGGCCGGACGCAAGTGCCGGAGCTGCACGTGCACGCACAAGTTCAGGAGCTCCGAGACCCCCATGAGCACGAGGCCGGCCGTCATCTGCAATAAAGACGTGGGTCCCGTGTACTCTGGATGGCACAAGGGAAAGCCCACGACCGCTGCAAACGTCCAGTAGTAGCTGCAGTTCTTGAACAGGTTGCGCAGTGGCATTGTCGGGCGGCTAAAGCGGTGGACAAACAGCGTCTCCAGCTCCCGCTTGACAAAGTGCAGCGTCCAGAAAGCGACACCAAAACGAGCCGCCGCGTGCCATGGCCTTGTCACTGCTTGAGACCCGTACACAAGAGCTGGTCGAGTCGCATACCCGAGCACGATCAAAAGCGGCCCCAAATATTCCAGCACAAAGACCGTGCGGTACCCAATTTGAGGACCCAAATCGCGAAACACTAATGTTGCGCGGTCCACGACCCCGACGTCTTGGAGCAACTTCGCGTCGTCCGCCAGCGCCACGAGCGCGTCAGTCGGCGCGCCTTGTTGCAACTTGAGGCTCTGCCGGGCCCGGGCAATGCCAGCGTGTTGCTCGAACGCGCATTTCAAGTCTCCTACAGTGCGCGCTGTATCGGGCACGTCGACGTAGCCATAGTCCTTGCCTCGCTTGCCAGCCGTGATCACCTTGACGCGCATTTTCGTGGTGTGCGGGCTGCAACGTAAGCCTTCGCGCAACACTAGCGCAACAGCGTCGTGCTTTTGGCAGCCACACGGGATGCACGCGATGATTTCATCCAATCACGTCATCGGGAATGTATTTCAACCAATGCGCGACTACAACGAATCCCCGCCAGCCATTTATGTAGACACTCACTTGCTCGTCACTGTCTCCACTTGATGCAACTGCTCGCGATGACCAAGGGGCTGCAGAGTCCGCTCGACGAGGCGCAAGTGCGCCGTGCTGTGCTGGCGCTGCAGGCGTTTGTCGACAAGCGAAAGCAAGAGCAAGCGAGGACGCCGCTCGTGGACAACGTGGACTACGTCTCGTGCATTTTGACGCGCAAATTAGTGCCTGCCAAGACATCGCTCAAGCCCATTCCAATGTACTTTGAGCGTTGAGTTGCCTGGTGGTCTTGTTGACCGTCACTGTGTGCTGATAATGTGGCACTGTGCAAGTGTTCTGACATTTGCTTGCGTTGCAATGGCTATTGATCTTAATCTGTAGCACACTGTCGCATGCGCTGTACGACGAGGAAGCTGAGATCTGTCTCATTGTCAAAGACAGCGACAAGAAACGCATCAAAGAGGCACTGGCTCAAGATCCTGTTACTGGTGTGACAAAAGTGCTGACAGTAAAGAAACTGCGCAAGAACTTTTCGCGGTTTGAAGACAAGCGCGCGCTGGCTGACGCCTATGACATGTTCTTGGCCGATGACCGTGTGCTGCCATACCTCAAGGGTGCACTGGGCACGAAGTTTTTTGTGAAAAAGAAAGCACCTGTGGCCGTGCGCGTCTCTCGCAAGAACGTCTCTACTAGTGTCCGACTCGCGTCACGTCGAACGGCTTTGCATGTCAGTGGTGGCGTGTGCAACAATGTGAAGGTTGCGCGACTAGACATGATGCCTGAGCAGATTGTGGACAACATTATGGTTGCCATGAACCACTGTGCTAATCTTGTGCCGAAGAGATGGAACGGCGTCCAGTCGGTCAGCATCAAGACGAATGACTCGGTCGCGCTGCCCGTGTACAATGCACTTGCATCGCTAGCAAAGTTACCGCCAGTTGGCAAGACTGCGAATCTGAAAAAGCGAAAGCTTGGGGAGCTTCTAGCCGAAGCCGTAGACGAGCCGCCGAAGTCTGATAAGCAGCGCAGGGAGACGAGAGTTGTGATGAAAGAGTCTCCCAAGACGGATCAAGTAGAACAAGCAGGAGATGACTTGGTCAAGAAGCAAAAGAAGCCAAAGTCAACGAAGGCCACCACCGCTTTCAAAGCTAAGGAGACAGTAAAAGCGACGATGAAGAAGCAGAGTACGAAGACCAAGACAGAGGATGGATCTACAGAAACGACGGTACCATTGGTAAAGAAGAAAGCTCGAGGCAAGCAGGGTGTACTGAAGAAGTAAGAGCTTACTTGTCTGGACAGTGCTGGATGGAGTCGACAAACGATTTACATACACGTACCACTTTCAATTGATTTTTGCGCCGTGTTTGTGCTGCGCAAGACTTGTTTATTCACCTAAACTTAGCAGCCTGAGATATTGTCGGCGCTAGAGACGACGGGACGCCCGAAAGGCGGCCACTTTGAGCTCGAAATCTGCATTACACCAGGTAGTGGTACTCTCGTTTTTGGCTTACGTCAAGAACTCGTACTTTTCAAACTGCTGTTTTGCCGTCGTCGTGGTACGTCTTACTCTTATTGTTGTTGTTTTGTTGTGGGAAAGTAGTCGTAGTCGTAGTCGTAGTCGTAGTCGTAGTCGTAGTTGAAGTAGTAGTCGTAGTAGTAGTAGTAGTAGTAGTAGTAGTAGTAGTCGTAGTCGTAGTCGTAGTAGTAGTAGTAGTAGTAGTAGTAGTAGTAGTAGTAGTAGTAGTAGTAGTAGTAGTAGTAGTAGTAGTAGTAGTAGTAGTAGTAGTAGTAGTAGTAGTAGTAGTAGTAGTAGTAGTAGTAGTAGTAGTAGTAGTAGTAGTAGTAGTAGTAGTAGTAGTAGTAGTAGTAGTAGTGGTAATAGTACCAATCCCACGCCAACGTGAATCTAATGCACAGGCGCCCGTTCTAGCGCCGTATATGCGTTATCTGACAAACATGTGGCATCCATACATATCGTCTCAGACGGGTACTACGTGTCTTGACCTTCTCGAGGACACGTGATCATCAGCACTGACGGTCAAGAAGGCACTGCTATCGATCCAAGCGCTACTTTCAGCATCTAAACCGGATGACATACAGGACGTCAAGCAGGCGGCCGAGATGTGCCTCCATGACCTTAAGCAGCTCCTCAATTCTGTGCGCGTCAGGATTGAGAGCTACAACCACCACAAAGACACGGCCGACGGTACAGCGCTATGCAGACTCCTTGATATGGGCTTTCCATTGGCACGGACGCGGAGTTTGTGTGGAGACAAGGGGCGTCGATAATCACGAAAGAAGGAACAGTAAGGCGCAAACCCTTTTCACATACCATATTGATGCCGAGATCGGTCGTGAGCTGTTGGACACGGCAGAAGGTATCACACATAGCTGAGTTGGCGACTTTCGATTGTAACGTGATGAGTCGTTGTTGGTCCTGCTAGACCGTTGCTCTACGCCATTGCATTCGACAAAACCCGAGACCTCAGAATGCAAAAGTGCTTTTATGTACCCCTGTCAACTGACTACACACCGACAGCAATGTAAGCACGCACCTGTGACAGGAAGAAGTAAAAACCAATGTAAATCCATGTGTAGTGACCGATGAAGCCATGCGTGTCGGCGTCGCAATGACAAGATCGTCCTAGCATTGACAGTTCGGTGCCTCCGGGGATGCTGTCGACAATCAGCGTGCGTCGTCGTCTCTCGTTACTAGAGCTTGGCTTGTCGCTTCTTCAACTCCTCTAACTGCGTCCACTTCAGCTTCTTCTTTCCTATTCCCGACCACGCAATCTTCCGTCCAAACGCTCTATCCTCCGCATGTTTAAGCTGCTCCCGTGTGATAACACCATTTTTGTTCAACAACTTTACCCCCCTCATCCAGACCTTGGCTTCATGTGGTGATAAACCCACCTCTCGCCAGACGAGCAACATCGTTTTCCACCAGTCGGAAGCCTCCTCCGCTGTTAAGAGGCCCCCTCGCACATAAACCGCCAAGTTATCCTGGAAGGCCAACAATTTCTTCCCCACTTCCACATCCTCCCCAAACACCTCCAGCCTCTGACTGTAGTGTACAAGATCTTTCGCAAGTTTTGCAAATTGTTCCTCAGTCGCACGGGTGATAAAGAGGCCCAAAGTAGATTCAGCGAAAGGTCCAGGAAGTGTTCTGTCCTCATCCAACCCGTCCAAAATTTGCTTCTCGGCACGTAGACTCCGCTTCCCATTCGCACGTGGAGAGGAGACACTCATGGAAGTCGCCTTGTTCTCAGACAGCGCCGCGTCGGCGTCGTTGGACGTGGAGACCGCAAAGCCACTCGCGTGAAGAGAAGCCATAACAATAGCCACGTAAAGACCGGTTAGGCGCATGTCCGTTGTACTTGTCGAGAGGTACTGCGGTACAAGAAGACGATCTGCAGGGTGCGTCAAGAATTGATGAATGAGGTCGAGCTGCACGACAAGCGTGGACGGATAGCGGCGCGTTGCAAGTGCCCATCGATACTGTTGTCTCTACCTTCTTCGGCAGTTCTACTATGCAAATCGAGCGAGTGTGTTGGAGGTCCCATTACTGAGACACATCACATTCCATTTCTTGAATTTCATGTGGAAGAATACGTGCGTCATTGCCATCTAGCCTTCCTTACATCTGCCGGGTGTACAATTCAGGAAAGGCACACGTGACTTCTCATCCTGCGTTGCTGTGTATTTCTGGTCTCTTTGAGAACGGCTCGGCGCTCGCAGAGACGAGAGACCAGCTTTGCTGTGCGCTGACCAACAGCACATTCGCTTTCTTCAACTATTGCTGTGGAGCTCCGATCGACCCACACCTGCGTCATTCGTACAGCATCCACAACAGTCTTTGTTACCCGCGACACACATTGTGGCAAGCATCGATGTCGCGCCTCATTCCCTGGTGTGGAAATGCCAGGGTAGGCGTGAGGAGTGCCTCTGAAAATGGCATAGAGGTCTGCTTGTTAGAAAGTCCGGTGCGAAGACCGTCTCGTGCTTCCCGCGCGGCCTAGCTTTGCAGGCAGTCCTTTCGTTGTTGTCCGTAGCGCCAACTCTTGATCTGGTAACTGCTCGCTGACGCGAGTAAAAGTGTTTTTTATAGGTTAACGATCTGATCCGGGCCTTCTACATCCTTCGTCTTCAAAGATACACGGTGCATCCAGAGATTGTCAAACTGATGCAGATAGGAAAGGTGGTGGTAGTGCAATCTGGTCTGAAGCATGAAAGTTGCACGACCAGCCCGATTGTAATGGGGCACCCCATTACATAAGTAGTTTCGACCAAGTTTACGTGTTACTTAAGTAGGGGTGTTACTTTTGAAGTAGCGAAAGTAGCACGTCGTATTTTTTAGCTGGTTTAATGGGCTCAGCACCATTATTCGCCAGTAAGATATAGGCACGTAGATTGAGTGGTTCCCATGAGTCCAAGGGAACCATTCGTACTTAGGATGATTTAAAAGACAAAAATATAAACAGAGTTAAAAATACTTAACACCTAAGACTTGGGCTTTGAGCTTCCTCAAAACAATATTGTAAGTTAAGTAACGGATTATTCTAGCCCCGTTACACCTGGTAGCACTTAGTAGTCCTTCCCATGCCCGAGTTTGGGATGAGCGATTCGTCGTACTTTGACGCTCCAACGTGAGTCTGGAGCACGTGACTTTTCCTATCCCACTGGTGTTGAGTGGGATGCCCTAAATCGCCTCGCGGCGATATGCATTCGTTGAGTGGTGGAGTGGCGATCGCTCAAATTATGAGTCGATCCCAACTCTCCACTGGCGCCCGGACGACCGACTAACGGAGGGGGTACTCCGATCCCGTGTTCTTGATAGCTTTCCTCACCTTGTGTACCCGTCGGTAGGGCGGGTTGCACTCTTCCAGGTGGACTCGTCTCAAAAGAAAACTTGACCGTGTTGGGGATGGGGGTGTGATCGTGCGGAAATCTTCACGCGATCACGGGGTACTTGTGGGTACTGACTTGAGTAACCCTGATCTCAACGAAATCGCCTTGTCCACTGTATGGTTGCTTGATCCGCGAGCCTTCTGACCACTTGAGCCGTCTCGCAATCTTGCGCCTTGCCTTTACTTGTCTTGCTGCGTCCGATCGCAGTTGATGTTACTTGAGGGTTCTTGAACACACCTGGCCAAAACAATCCAGGTGTGACACTTGCGTAGACGTGTACCGTTACTCTTTGTTCAACGGGGGGCCAAAAAATCCAACCCGGAAGAGATAACGTGTGCCTTGTGAAGTAATTTGAACTCTGTTTAATGTTATCCAATCAATCCTAAAACCCTACCCCTATGCCTATCCGTATGTCCTAACCAGATGCCACGCGTCGCCTTTCCAGGAAGATCGCCCCCTCACATTTGTGTGGTCCACACCCAGTATATCAACCGTTGTGTCTTTCTTGTGGCCCACCCAAGATGTCCCCACGATCCTACGAGCGGATCGCGATCCTACTAGCGGACCGCGATCTTACTGGAGGATCGTGATCCTAGCCGTGGATCGCGATC